GAATGTGTGACTGTGGGCCAGGCCTATTATCCACTTTATATTGATGCAAATGGAGGTTATGATTTTGCCTCACACATGAAGATAAGAATGAGGTTGTGGCAGATCTTTACAACATTCCCTACCATTCGAATATTAGGCACTGATGTTGGTGGCTTGAGTTTTGATGCCAAGATTTTTGAGTGAAGAAAAAGTTTAAAGTTTCCCCTCTCCCCTAATTTGCTTTCGTAACTTCATAAGTAAGGATATAAAGAAAGAAAAAAATGAAAAAGATGTTTAGGTTTGATGCTACTTTTATGCTATTTACTTGTCTATAACTAATATATTGATAGAGATGGGCCTTGACGTCGCTGCCATCGTAGGGCCTACTTAGATTTTTCATTAGAAATGAGCGTGAGGTAGCTTGGGCTAGGAGTTCAGGATCCAATAAGAAGAAAGAGGAAAAGCTAAAAAAAAAAAGGGAACAATTTTCAATATAAAGAAGAGGGAATTTCAGGGGACCTGAAAATATAGAAAAAGAAGAAGATAGAGAAAATAAACCAAGTGAGACAAAGAAAGGGAGGGAAAAAAAAAGCTAACTAAAACTATTTATAGCCTGTTTGGATCCTCTTATTTTTAAGCTAGAAGCTACTTATAAGAAAATAAGAAAATGGGCTAACTAAAACTATTTTTACCTCTACGGTTTTAGTTGTTTTCCTTACTTAGCCAATAAGAAAATGGGCTATTCGTATATATTGAATAGAATAGACAAGTTTTGGGCTTATCAGTAGTAAACCTCCCATAAGAGACCAATATGATGTGAGCCACGCTGCCTTAGAACATGCATCTCTTCTCGGTTTGGGTTTTAATCTGTTCAAAGTGCATCAAAATGTTTTTACTCGGTATCAATTTCTATGGCCTCTAGCTTCAGAATAAGAAAAAAAAAAAAAATAACTCCTCCGACTACATTTGAAACTTTGCTAAGTAAAAGTTATGTAAACTCCAACGGAATTTTCTAAAATGGTCCCTCTCACAAACAATTTCCATTCCTGTTTTTTTAACAAAATTCTCATTTTGCCGCCCGGTATAACACAAGGTCCATCTTCTCCTGGACCATGAAATAACTGCTAAACTCCAACAACTTTAAACAAATAAATAATTTATATGCCAACACTAGAGGAATTTGAATTGTGAATCACCTAACTTTTTAAATAGTTAATTTATGATTATGGTATAAAAGTTTTTACGTAACCAAACGATCAAACATTCACATACTTTTTTACCTTACGGAAGATTAAAAAAGTATTTCTTTAATTAAAACATGATACTGCTTAGTTAAAAATTTGTATTTCTTTAATTCCCATTCATTAATCTTTTTTGGTTTTTAGTTTGGACGTATAATCACGGAAGATTATAAATGGCTATATTAGAAGAATTCTGCATAAAATTCACTCTTGCAATTTTTAACAAGATAACAAATTTTAAAAAGAAAATACGCTTGAGGAAGATCAAAATGTCAAACCAAATGAGAGACATTGACCATGTTGCCACCCCTTTAATAAAAACACGTGTCAGCGTCTGAATGGTCAATCATTCTCGCTGGACCGCCTAGCTAGAATGACAGAATGCTGACACGTGGCAAAAGCACAGACATCCAGAGAATGCTTGTACTTTTGTCAGGTGTCAGCATTCTGTCATTCTAGCTGGGCAGTCCAGCGAGAATGGTTGACCATTCAGACGCTGATATGTGTCCAGACCATTTCTGCTTGTCAGAGCGAGATTGTGACGTGATATTTTGATAAATTTTTTTATTGGCGTGACAATCTGGTCATTTTTTGCCTAAAAGATGGCAATATGGTCAAAGTCCCATCAAATGATCATATTCTAAACTCTCTTTTTTTTTTCTTCAACCGCGAAAGGTTTGACTTTTCAACCGTTTTGACACTAGACAACTATTTTTCTTGGACAAATGTATATTAATGTGGAGAAGCACTACTTTTCAGTTCTTCTAGAGGAACGGACACGAACAAACTATAATGAAGGTGTTGCTAGATCATGTTCTTCTTTTGGGTTGTTTTTCCCCCCTCTTATGGAGTTTAATGGGATGAGATTGTAACCCTCCACTCCACTTGAGCTTTTAAAAAAATAAATTTTTATGTCTTGTTTTTATAGAATGATTTTATTTTAAAGTTAAAATTATTTTATATTTTGATGAAGAGGGCAGTTATATTCACTATTAAACTAATCACCGTTGATTTTTGTCAATTTAACAGTTATAATTTATTAGTACATTTATTAATTAATTATTAATTCTTAAAAAATTATAACCGTTAGATTGACGAAAATCAATAGTGATTAATTTATTAATAAGAATTGTAAAACTTTTCAATAATAAATATCCCTTTGATGAAATACGTAAAAAAATACTTTTAAATAAAAAAGTTATTTAGATGTGAAAATCAATAAGCACCTTTTATATATATAATTAGTATATATATATGTGCAGTGGTGGGTTGCAAGGGTTGAAGTGAGATTGGGGTAAAATCAGATTTTTTAAAAAATATTTAACTTTTAAAATCTGTAATTTTAAGCAATAAGGAATCTTGACTTTTAAAAAAATAATTCTTTTTATTTTTTTTTAAATTCTGTTTTTTTTCTAAAAGTTATCATCTAAACACATTAAAATTATGCGTAAAGTATGTGTCATTTTAAAGGATGTAAAGTTGTGTCATTTTAAGAGAGAGAAAGAGATAGATAAAGGAGGAGAGAGAATTGACAAAAAAATAAAGATAGGATCCCACCTCTTTGTGAGAATGAAAAGATATAAGTTGTGTCATTTAAAAGGATAAATATTTTTCCCTAAAATTATTGAAAAGGACTTTTTTCGAAAAAAAAAAAAACTATTCTAAAAAATAAACCTATGCGAACGCACACTAACTCTTTGTAAACCAGCTGACATGCACAAAAACTACATCACATAAAGGCGCACTAAGAAACTAAACAAATCAAAAAAAATTAAAATGCCTTCCATCTTATGCTTGAGCACCAGTAGCAAGTGGTAGCTAGGAACAAGATCACGTTGGACAATTTCATTTTTAGGCACTAATAACTAACCAAAAACATGCGCGCCAACCCAATGAACCACTTGTACAGCAAACTAGCATGTAGCTGGGGGACAAAGTCGCCATCACTTTTAAGTCACATTTTCAATGCTTCTGAAATGGTCCAATTTGAATTGGTCAAGCTTAGTGAGGAAAAAAAACTACTACTTTTCGGATTCAACCAGTCAAGCTTGGCTATAAGTGTCGCTTGCATTCAACAATTGCGCGGTAACTTCATGTTTCAACACACGCACAGACAATACTGGTTACGAGACACAGCATTTCAAACACAATGATTGAGATTACAACCAAATATGTGTAATTTCTACAATAGTAACATGTTAGAGGAATGCTAGATAGCTACACTGTAGCACTCAAAGTTCTGGTGTCTCGTTGAAAAATTTAGACTAATTTTCTTTTAATTGACATACATTACAATCATCATTACATTTATTTCAAATTAGTTAAGAGATGAATCCAACATAAAAAACACAAATTATCTGTTACTAGAGTTAATCTAAAATTTAAGATAATTATTAAAATAAATTAAAAACTATGTTCTAGGCGATAACGCAAGCTCAATGGTTGGGTCCAAATTCATATAAGGGGTTATATTTTGTACCGCTAAAGTGAGATTTTTAAATCATCATTACAGGAAATCTCGCTCCCCAACATACCTCACGTACTGAGTTAAGATGCTTATCTCACACCTAATAAAACACACAAGCGCAAAACCATTATAATTATGGGCTTATGTTTTCTTCTGCAGCAGGAATTGAGATTTTTTTCCTGCACTCACAGTAACAGTGCCCATTTATTTTTTTCTTTTTGTTTTTTTAATTATAAAGTGGGCTCCACATAGAAAATTGTCTCACTCACATGAGATAAGATATTTCCAACAAAATAAGATAACTATTTCCCTATAATTATTTATTCAGAGAATAGTATAAATCATTAAAAAGGTCTTTATCTAACAGTTCTTTAAGATTTTGGGTTAAAATGATTCTTTATATGGTATTAGGGCTTTAACGATCACAAGATCATGAATTCGATTCTCACCACCTCCACTTTATAGTGAAATTAAGTCCAAAAAAAAAGTACAAGGTAAACCAAAAATTGAACTTGTGTAATATCCACGATTCAAATTCAAAAGACTGTTGCGTGATGAGATATGTTAGAGAATAATATAAACCATTAAAAAAGTTTTTATATAACACCATAAAATTTTGGATTAAAGTGACTATTTACATCAATCGTATAATCTTCGTCATTTATATATATTCCTCTTAAGAGGTACCTTTTGCATATTCATTTACATCTAGAAAAATACATCTTTCATCTAGTGCCCAACACAACCCCCGATTCTCAACCTTAGCTTGAGATATATTTATTGATTCTCCATTAAATTCAATTTCATAGCTCTGCCTTATAGATCATATTGACATACTAGGAAACAAACCCATTTCCAGTGCAACAATTCAAAGTGTTCTCTGCCATTCTCTCAAAGTTAATAAAATGATATTTGATACATGTTCCTAAACTTTTTCTCCCCAACACACACACAAATGTGTGGAACTCTATGGTTCCCTAAAAAAGTCTCATACATTTTTTTTATGCGTGATATAAATTTATCTCTTACCAAAATGAAAAACAATAAACTTTGGGGATGTTATAGCTACTACTACTTTTTTTTTTACTACCTCTCACCACTAAATCTTAACCGTTGATTTACATTCATCTAATGGTTGTAAAAAGAGGTAGTAAGTATAATCTCTCCCTTAAACCTTTACACAGTAATTAAATTCGCACTTTCTTCAATTCATTGTTAGATTAAGAATCAAAATGAACGGAGTTAGGCCTTTGTTAAAAAGAGCCCAAGTGGGATTAAAATTCTATGATTTTATAAGGAATTAAGAACCTCAATTACAATACAACCTAATATCTCTGTATTACGAGTGTCACCGTGCACTTTATATTACAAAAATAACAATATATTTGATTGATTAGGTATGGTAAGGGGAAAAATAAAATAAAATAAACAAATATAAAATGTTACTAACGCTAAGAGGAGTTGAAAGAACAGAGCGGTCAACTAAGAGGGGCGGTTCGGCGGGCGTATTGCGAGTTTAGCCGGTAAGGGTCGACCGGTTCCGGTTCCACCGCAACTGCTGCAAGACATGCGACCCGAACCGGAACATGTTCTGCATCCGACATCACCATCGGACCAGCGCGAGCACAAGCAAGAAACTCGACCGGTTCCATTGCAACTGGGACAGCGAGGGAATGAACCGGCCATGGGTTTCTGGTCCATCACCGATTTCACGAGAACCGCTCCGGCCAGCACGCTTAGACCGGTTGCCAATTGGCTCACCACAATCGGACCCATTTGCTGGAAGATACGGACGTAGATGAATCGAAGATAGAGAGAGAGAGAAGGAATTAGGGGTAACAGAGAGAGAGAGAGAAGAAGATGAGGGGTTTCTGTGAGTTATTTTTTGCAGTGTTTGAATAAGTGAAAATGAATAAATAAATAAAGTGGTTGTGGAATTGTACACGTTTACGACACAGTGATTGGTGGCTCACCGAAGCAAGATTGGGGTTTTGGAGCTTAGTGAATTTAGAGCTGGCAAAATGGGCCGAGCCCGTCGGGCCGGCCCGCCCCGTCCGTCAAACGTGGCGGGGTGGACTGAATTTTCTAAATTCGCTGCCCGCCAAGTCTGCCCCGCCAGCCCGTCCGGGCTGTTTTTTTTTTTTTTTAATTTTTAGTGTAAAATGTGACGGGTTTGACGGGCAGTCCGCCTCGGGGGCGGGGCGGGCAGCCCGCTTTGCCACCTCTATTAGTGATGCATATTTTTTTTTTTTTTTTCAGTTTTACTTTTTCCTTTGCAAACGGAACCTGCGAGATTTTAATTATAGGACGGTGTTTTACGAATAAATCAGATTCAGTGTATTTTACCAATAAAATTATGACATGTCAGTTAAAAAAAAGTTCATTCAAATTTTTTCTTTTTACTCTGATGTGTATCGCTGCTCTCATTGATAAGACCTATTGAATCTAAGTGCAACAGTAGCACCAAAAATTTATTTGTGTTTTACATTAAAATTAAAAAAAAAAACATACACATTCTCTTTTAATGAGTGTCCTTGGGTATGGAATAATAATTATTATTTTGCACAAACAAAATAATCAAAGGAAAAAGTATTTAATACAGTAAATATTTTAAATAAACAAGTACTTATTATGACCCTGCTTTGCAAGTCTCAAAAATATAATTCTATATTATGTTAATGAATCTTCATAATAATTCTCCTAATTATTTATAGAAGGGAATTGGTTTTTTTTTTTCATTCCCAACACTTTTTACTTCTAATCATTTAATATTTGCTATTTTAAGTATTTAGAAAGATGTAGGAGGATTTGCTAAAAAGATATATAATTACTTTTAAGGGATAAGTACATCAATATCTTTGTGGTTTACTTCAGAATCACTTATGCTCCTGTGATTTTTTATTTTTTACAAAGCACGGGAGCATATGTGATAAAAAAAAAATCACAGGGGCATAAATGATTCTGAAGCAAACCACATGAGCATTTGTGAACTTTTTCCTACTTTTAATATATCAAACTAAAATAGTTTCCTCTTATTTAATAAAGAAAGAGTTATATGTATAACGAAAAAAAAAGTGTTATATTTAAAAAAATAGATGCATTCAAAATATTAGAAACATTTATTATTTAGTAAACAGGAGAATTGAGAGCTATTCTTGAAATTAATTTTTTTATTTTGTAAAATATTTTGTAAGTTTTTTTTTTTTGGGTATGCTTTTGTAAGTTTATTTTATAAGAATAGGTATTTTGTTAAAGTGTATAATTAAAACATATAATAAGAAGATTTTATTATTTTTCATTAATTTATATTAATTATTTAAAAAGTGACATTTTTTTAATTCCTTAAAATATTAAATACTTTTTAATTTAATAACTTTTACTCAAATTTCTTACCATATGTAATAATAACCCACGTTAACACAACCATAAGAATTATACTCCATAATTAGTTCGCTAGCTAATGCATTTTGCTGGGATGCATGCCAAATATTTTTCAAGAAAGAGGAGGAGACTTCGAGTTTCATCAAGAAGATTTTTCCGCCACTTGGCCCAACATTTGGATGATTCAACAACACGGAAGAAATAGGGAAGGAGCCAAAATAATTGATAAATTTTGGGACCATTTTCTTCTTCTCTTGCACTAGATAATTTGTTTAACTTATGTTCATGTTTTTCATAATTGTTTATCCAAAATCCTGAACGAGCACACATAGATATGTTCACTATCTGTGGCAGAAGCTAAATCCTAGGAGTCACAAGATAATCAAAGAGGGAGAGTGTTGAAAATAATTACATGCTTCAATAATCTTTATAGATTCATGTCACACAGTCTAACAAATACCAACATATGCATATAGACTAAGTTAGGACTATAACCTTTTACAGGTGATGATTTTTTCATTTATTTTTTGTGATGTATATATTATGTTATCATCTTTTATTTTTATTTCATAACTTTTTTCGAAGAAGATAAAGAAAATTATTAATACCTTTCTCGGCTTTTTTTTTTTTTTTTGGTGAGGGCACAGCCCCAAGACAAAACAGAAAAGAACTACATCACGAATGTCTAGCCCTGTGAACAGAGCTAAAATCAGAAAAATACAGCCACCTAATATCCAAAGGTGGAACATAAAAAACTATAAAATCCTCCTGATCCAGCTTCAGAAGAGGAAGGTTTGCTAGCCAGTCCGCACAGACATTTCCTTCCCTGTAAGTATGAAGTAACCTGACAGTCCAATCCTTTGAGAGCCAATTTCGTATACGAGTCACTAAATGGGACTCACAGGAATCATCACCAGATTTGGTGAGCAAAATAATAGCAAATTAGGAAAAAGTGTGTGTCATTTTAAAGGACACACACATTCATATCCTTTTAAGAGAGATAATTGAATAAACTATGGGGAAAGAGAGTAAAGAGAAAAATTCATAATTTAAAATTTAAAAAACACACTACATTCATCTAAAAGGACAAAAAAAAAGAACCATCATTTTAATTGACAAACACTGAACCAAAAATTAAGATCACAGAAGAATTGGTATACCTTTCCGTGTGAAATAAGTTAAGTAACTAATATTTAGAACATCAGCACAAGCAAGTTGAGATGGCCGAGTTGGTCTAAGGCGCCAGATTAAGGTTCTGGTCCGAAAGGGCGTGGGTTCAAATCCCACTCTCAACACATTGCTTTTATGAATTTCATTGGGTTCCAATCCCACTCTCAACATCTTTGCTCATTCCAATTATATTAAGGAACCCACTCTCAACATCTTTGCTCATTCCAATTATATTAAACTAAACAGCATATTAATATGTCAGTGCTTTACCCTTCCTCGCCACGACTCCCACAGGGTTGAGCCATAACGTGCTTTTTCAAATCTTGAATTTAAATTTTAAAAGATAGAAAACATTTGAACAATCATTAACCATATTAATGCTGCATAATAAAAATTATTTTGTTAAAAATAATCATTAAAAAAACAAAAAAAAAATGTAAAAAAAAAAACAAAAAAATTGTGTATAAATAGAATATGTGTTATTGAATTTTTTTCATTTGCTAATTAGCTTCTGTGCATATATTTCTTCTCTGATCTGTCTGTTTATCTTCTTCATCTTCTCAAGTTGTTGCTCTATTACATGAACGTGTAATAATTTTTGTTCTTTTTTTTTGCAGCTTTGTTATAGAACAAACCTGACGAGATGATTTAGAATAATTGGGATATGTGCTTTTGTACTTCCTCTAAGGAAGGTTTGGCATTTTTCTATATCTGCTTTTTTTCTACAAGTATTTTCTCCATACTCCAATATCATGGATGAGATGATATAATTAAAGCTGGAACAAAGAAACAAGAGTATACAACGAACAATGGCATCATGCGTGGATCATCCCAGCCTTTTGACAAATTCTGTCTTTTTCTCTCATGTGTATTATTTGTGCTCTTTGGGCACCATCTCAAAATTTAACACGGTAAAAATTCATCATTTATCTTAAAGTCCTTCCATTTTCTATCTTTAATGTTTGTAAGAGCAAGATGAGCTTTCCCTTCTATTCTTCCTGTCTAGACATAATTTATTTTGCATTGTTGTTGTTGTTATTTAATGTCTGTTATTGACAGATATGCTTACCGTGATAAGTTGGATAGGGATGATAGTACTTTGACCCTCGTAAAACCATCTTCAATTTCTTCAAAGGATGCTCAAAGTGTACTAGATGCTAGACCAGTGTAACCCATCAACATAGATTCAAAGCAATTTTTCTTTTAAGAATTTTTTGCTTTAATTATCACTAATAATTTATCCTTCTACTTTTTTTTAATTTATTTTGTGTCTATTGTATAAGTGCCTAACCTAATTCAATGTACTTAGATATTGGAAAACTCTATTGTACATGCTTATATTGAAAATATGAACCAGAGGAAAAATTGGTGGCTCTTCAATTCTAAAATAGAATACAGGCATATGAAGTTTTTTATCTTCTAATTAAATTTATTATAATTAGCCTTGAAACCAATATCCTTTAAAAAAAGTGAATATTCCAGAATGTTTTTTTTTTAATTTTTTTTCAAAAATATAATACAAAAAAGAAGAATCTCGTACAAATATTTTTTTGTAAAAATATTTAATCATTCTTTTTATGATTAATATCATTTTTTTATGATTAATATCTCATTACTTTTTTAAATTTCGAAATTCAAACTTGATATATGTGAAAAAAGAGTTCAGCATTAATTAGTGACAAATATTTTTGTTTATATCCCACTACTTTTTTGACATTCGAATTTTAAATTGATATAGGTGAAAAAAGAGTTCAAACATTTTTTATTGGTAGACAACTATATTAGTATTCACTACTTTCTACATGGGAATTGTTAAGTATATTTATAATATTTATTGTAAAATATATTATTATGGTTAGGTTTAATAAATTTTATTATTATGTTATTTGGGCTTAATTTATTCGGTCAATTAAAAATGATCATATATTATTTACAAAAGCCAACATATTTTACTAATAATATTAAAATTTCACCTATATATAATAATAAATTTAATTTAAATTTTTAATGTTTAGCATTTATTCAACATTTAATTTTTTGAAGTGCAAAAAAATATATATAATAAATTTAAATTTAATATAAAATTATTGATCTAATGAAAAAATATTTAAAATTACAAAAATATATGTATAGTTGTTAAAAAATAAAATAAATATTAAATTTAAATGCAAAAAACAAATACGAAATGACACATTTATACTATAAAAATAAATAAATAAATATTTAAATTAAAAATAATACAAAAAGAGAAAAATTTGTACAAGTATTTTTTTTTTAAAACAATTATCATAAATATTTTAAATATATATATCTATATCTAATCTAAAA